CAAGACCCGACGCGCTGAACGAACTCCCCCCCCCCCCGCCGCCGAATTACCGCCGAGGCCGGCAAAATGCTACTCCCCCCCCCCCCCCCAAAAAAAACCCCTCGGTGCCCTAGGTGACTGCTTAGGTCGCCTAAATGGAAGCGCCGGCCCTGGGACTGAGAATGACCCAGAGCTGTTGTTGGAGATGGGGGTAGAGAGGAGGAGATGAGTTTATTCCTCTATAGTCATTTTTCAGTGCAGCATACATAAGGTTTGCATGTCTGTGGTATTCTAAGGGTTAACCCCTTTTGAAATAAAGCATCTTTGTTCTTTTAAGGGTCCAGTTTACATTCTGGTACTACTGTATGACTCAGAGCTATGTCACTTCTCTTAAGTGCCAAAACTGAATATGTGGCCAGTTGGTTTATGTTCTGGGGGAGTGAAGAGATGGGATGGAAAGGCACATTTTCATGAAAACATCTTTGTTCTTAATTGTTGAAACAACTGCTTGAGAAAAAGAGCAGCTTGCTGATTAGTCAGCAGCAGGAAACCCAGAGCTGACCAATACGCCTTTATCAGAAAGTCTTTTCAGTCAAGGAAATTACAGTTTTTAGGGAAGAAAGTGAAGAAACTGGGTCAGCTAACAAGTTTTTAGAACAGACAATCCTCTTAACTTCCTGAGCATCTGTATGGATGTCTTCTTTTTATCTATATTCCTTGCATAACCAAAAACTTGGTCTAAAGGAGATTAAGGATGGCTATGATACCCTAAAAAGCAAGAAAATAATAAGCTGAGCCACCTCTTAACTATATCCTAATGCCCACCCAGCACACTTCCACTGACAGTGACAGACTCCAGATCATCCAAAGGAATTTACTTCTGCCTTCAACTGATAAAGAAACATACTGCAAAGAACACATTCATCTCCTTCACGGTATTGCACAAACCTTAATTACAACCTCAGCAACGTTAGCAAATATTCAGGCTTGTCACAAGGTAAGTGTCGTGTGTCAGAACCATCAGGATGCAATCTATGTTTTGCTGTAGTAAAATGGCGGTTATCTTCCACAGCCTGTGTTCCATGGAAACAATGAGAAGTACTGCCATTTTTACTAGTGGGGCACGTGTGTGTGTGTGCGCGTGCAGACACGCCCTGCTAAAACTGATGGCATAAGCAGCTTCAGTATCATTGTAAGTTATGAAAAATGGCAAGCATTTGAGTAAGGGAAAATTCTAACTATAATGGGCAATATGAGGGGAGGGAAAGGGGTTACCACCTAATTCTTCACCTGTGTACACAAAGGTAGCTAGCAATGAGTTTTAACCATATGGAAATTTTCAAAGATTATAAAATCCAGCCACTTATTACCAAAGGGGATCCAAAAGGTCAAACACCGAGCAACCTTAATATAAACAAATACAGAGCTCTCCACAGAGAGATTCCACAGAGCTCTCCATTTAGCTATAGAACTGCATGTTGCTGTGAAATCATGGATGTGTATAATTATACTGTTACGAGTTAAGCCAAGTCTCATTAAAATTAGGGTATGCAACTGCCATCCTTCATTTAAGATAGCTGTAAGAAACAGTCAGATCCTTTTATAGAACAGTAAGTCTCCACCCCAAACAGAAGTGCATGTCGCTGCCCAAAATACAGGCACAAGCACATGTGAGGTTGCTCGGGAATTTGAACTAACTGGATGGAGCGGGGGGCTTCCCAGGGACTGTTTTAGTAGAGTGGTGTGTGTATGTGTGAGAGAGAGGCAGGAGAAACCCCACAGAAGAGGAAGAAAGCCAGGTGCAGCCTGAACAAGCACAGAGTATGGCCCTGAGAAAAACCTATAGAAAGAGCTTTTAGGTTGAATGCTGGCTGAATGGGCTTGGAGCTGTGAGCAAAGAAAATATCGCCAGTTGTTTGTTTCCTTCTGTGTTCAGGGAAACAGGACTTTGTATGTTCTTTGGAAATAAAAAGGATTTCTTCAAAGATACCTGCCTCCATCATCAATTTCTCCTCCCAATGGAAACAACCCACAGGGCCTCAAACTTTGGCTAATTGCTCATGTCAAAAAGTTAATGATACATATTTCTCACCTCTCCTGCAGTTTCTTAAGCTTCTCTGGGTCTGCATGTTTGTTTATTTCCTTTGCACTTGTGGTATCACATGGTGTAATGCTGCTCATAGCACTACTTTGATTTTGTAAATCAGACACTGCCAGCAAAGCAAGTGGTAATTGATCATGTAATGTGCCAGCCATGTGAAGGTGGGCTGTGAAATTCGTTTGAAACAAAGATGGGCTGGAAGAACCTATAGATAAAAAAGAACTA